CTGCTAATTGGTATTCTTTGACTTTGACTTACCATCAGAACGATTCTTGTAACCTTGGGGTTCTAGGAATCTGAATCGGAAGTCCTTTTGGACATCACAGATGATCCACTCATTTGGTTTCAATTTCCATTCGAAGTCATTCTCCATGTGGAATAATTCTAATTCTAAATTCCAGATTTGTCGTTCTTTTTCATTCTAAAATCCTAAAAGATGGTTCAGATAGAACTCCTGAAATTCGTTTTTGATTACCTTTTCCAGATTTAGGCTTCTGAAGGAATTTCTTAGGGGTGTGAAGCTGGGATTGGGGATGGAAGGCAGAAGGGGTTCTCAACAGAGGAGGGTCGTTGATCAGGGTAAGCAGGTTAGAAGGACGGTGCTGGGACGACGCAGACCGGTGTTGGAGCTTGTGCTCTGTAACCCGGGGGGGAGCTTGAGGCCTGCGAAGTTATGCTGAACGCATAACCAGACCGTCCAACGAGGCTGGCGCCGGGGTATTGACCCTGTAACCGGTTAGGGGCTTGCCGCTATAGGAACTGCCGAAGGAGGAAGGCACTTCCTGACCGTCAGAACGAGTTTGGTCGGTACTGGGGAGGGTTGTGGTGCCCTGTTACCCTAGCAGAGAGGGGGTATGAGATCAAGTGAGTTCTGGTACGAAGACTGAAAGCCTGGACTGACACTTCGTCTGTTGAGGGGGGACTTAGGATAGTAGGTGTTTTAGTTTTGCCCCCCCCGTTCTCATAAAGTTTATAGCGAAAATCTTAATAAGATTAGGTCGTTTGGTAGTCCTGGATGGTCTTCAGGATTTTGAGATTCCTGCTAACTCATCCTGAGGTGGTTTCGAGGTTGTTGTACTCAGTGATTTCCGGTTGTCCGATGCCAGAACGACGCTGACCGGTGCTGGGGGATTGCCCTGTAACCTGTTAATAGCAGGAGCGTGAGGCCTGGTAGAGAGATCTGGGGATGCTTTGGGCCGGGCATTCCAAGGGAAAACCAAGGGTTGCTGTTGGGACGATGCTGGCCGGAGCTGGGGTGAGTCGTGTTGCCCTGTAACCTAGCAGGGTGGGGGCATGAGGCCTGGGAGAGCTCGGCAGGGAGGAAGACAGTATTAGAGAATTTTAGAGTGTTTTTTTCCAAGGGTTCTGAGCATTCGAAGGACTTCCACTAATTGCTGTTTGGATTTTTCTAGTAGTTCCTTGTCTAAATTCATGAAATTTTCTGATGATGGGACACTGGGCCCGGTTCCCAGTTTGTGCCAATTTAAGAGGATATGGTTGTATCTATGGGACGCTGGACCCGGTTTCCAGCAGGTGTTGCTCCCCACCAATAGATGGAGCTGTTTGTTAAAAAAAAGGAAAAATTTGTCTGGCGCCCCTGTATTTTGCGTTATTTCGCGTCGCGCCCCTCTAATGGCCGGTTTACCCTGTCGCGCCCCTCTGAGCAGGGTTCAAATTTTCCATAAGACCCTGGTGTCGTTTGGGCCTCAAATCTTTTCGTCACGCCCCTACCAGTACCTGTCCCTAATTTGCGGCATGCCCTTACCGGATGGCCGTTTCGGGATGCCCCTACCGGTACCGTCCAACTTTTTAGCACGCCCTTACTGCCGTTGGAGGCGCTCCGGGGTGACCTGAAAGCCAGCTCTCTCTCTCTCTCTCTCTCTCTCTCTGACTACTTTGCGCGCCAACAATTTGCAACACCTGAACGTATATTTCCACGAAAACGGGAAGATTTATTCCCTATTGCAAATTCGAAGAGAGAGAGAGAGAGAGAGAGAGAGAGAGAGAGAGAGAGAGAGAGAGAGAGAGAGAGAGAGATGCACGGCGAGCTGCGCAGAGTGCCGCGGCAAACTCGCCGTGGCTCTCTCTCTCTCTCTATCTCTCTCCTGTGACTACTTTGCGCGCCAGCAATTTGCAACACCTGAACGTATATTTCCACGAACACGGGAAGATTCATTCCCTATTTGCAACTTCGAACTGAGAGATAGATAGATAGATAGATAGATAGATAGATAGATAGATAGAGAGAGAGAGAGAGAGAGAGAGAGAGA